AAATTATAATATAGAGACTGTGCAGAGCTACGGCCCAGACGGTGTTGGGCTACTAATTCCCATCCTAAGGGATGAGCAGGCAGGAGATACAGAGGTTAATTTATAACCAGGTATCCCCAGGCCCTCATGCAGTGGGAGGGCGGCTGTGCTGAGCGGAGCCCAGGAGCTTGTTCCCCTGCGGTCCCCTGGTGTCCCAGGCTAAGAGGGGTTGCTCGGGCGGCCTTTTTTATTTTTCTTTCCTTTATAAATGACTGCAGAGAGCGCTTGCCAAGAAACTGTGGGTTTCAAGCTCTGCAATGTCCTTTCCACAGATGGTGGCATGGAGCAAGGAGCTTACAAAAGCTGATGTGAGCAAGTGTGTTTCTTTATTATTATTATTATTATTATTATTATTATTATTTATTATATTTTTCTTTTAACTCTATAAGCCCTGCTCCGAGAGGGATTTAATCCTTCCCCTAATAAAGAACACATAGGTAGAAATTAATAAAGAACACATAGGTAGAAATAAAGACGCAGCCCCTTTGCCAGAGCATGGGAAGAAGCAGGTGGCGACTATGCCGAGACAAAGTAGAATTGCCCACATCTGCACAAAGCACACTGAAAAAAGCACAAGGAAACAGGGCAAAGGGATGTTTGCAGATTTCAGAAACTTATTAGTGACAAGAAGCATGGAGAAATGAGTCCTGTTTTTACTACTCATAATTTTGAGATAAGAATATTTACGTGGATACTTGGTAGCTTTCCTGKTTTTGTTTTCTTTCCTTTGGATGATGCTCACTTGATTGTAAAGTAATGCCTTGGAGTTTGCTGGCTGTGAGTTACAAATCTGGATAATGAGTCTTAAAAAGAAAAATCCCCAAAATGTGTGCTTCATACTCCTTTTTTTTTTCTTTTTTTTTTCTGTGTTAACGTTCAGTGCACATGTTCAAGTTTCCGTGGAACAAATGTTCATGGAAAATGAATTTCAAAATAAACTGCCAATGCACTTGAAAGCACCCAGCTTTTTCTTAGCAAGTAGAAGTATCTGCGCCAAAAGTACCTTTAAATTCATCCAAGTAGGGATGAGCACAAAAGCGCGACTGGCTTGTGAGCAGTCCTTTGAATTAAATGGAAAGTTAATTGGATAATAAATAATTAGAAGGAGCTGTCATCTGCCTGTGGATATTCTATGAGTTGTCATCTGTCTATGGATATTCTGAGTTAAAAAAAAAAAAAAAAAAGCCAAACCCCAAGAATGTAACTATCTTTGCTAAATAAGATAATTATTAATTATTTGTCTGAGCCCAATAAGTAGTAGCACACAGACCTATAGTGTTTCTGGTGGGTAACACTCCCCACCATTCCCAGGAGCATTTGCTGTGCAATTTACTTGTCATAGAGAAACTACTACTCTGTGGTGATTCTCCTTGTCAAAAGGTAAAGATAAGGGATGTGTTTCCTTCCCCCTGGGCTGTTTCTACAGAACGCATTTGTCCCATCCTTCAGGCTGGGAATAAGTGTCTCCAATTCCTTCTCAAGCCCCCACTTGTCAAATGAGCCCTGTCTCTTTGAAATATTTATACACKCTGCATCACCTATATTTCACAGCCACATTAAGAGGCAGACAGTCTTGGGGACAGATGTGGTGTTCAAAGAGGGGAAATCATATACAGCACAATGTCACCAGGCAGGAGATGACTGAAGGACTGCATGAGGCCAAGGTCCAGTTACAACAACATTAATTCCCTGTGTGTCAGTGTTTTTATGCCATGATCTGGTGCAGCCTGTCAGTTATTTCTTTCGGGGGGAATGACGCAGCTATCTGCATGCCCCAGTGGTCTCTTGAGCTTGTGGTCTGATGTTTCCATGGCCTCTTCCTTGCCCACTGCCTTGCGGAGGCCGCATCCAACAGCGTCTCCTGGATCCCCGGGTTTGGCCTCTCCCTCACAACCCACGTGCGCGGCAGCCCGCACAGTCCAGCTGGAGGCTCTTCTGCTACCTCTCCCTTGATACCGCTTACCAAGGGGGAGAAGAAATAAAAAAATAGCCCRGAAAGAAGAAGCTCTTAGCAGGGAGGGGGGAGGAAGGGCAGTGCAGCCACAGCAAGGGCCTCCCCAGGGAGCTGCTGTGCAGGCCGAGCGCCCTGAGGGGCCGTGAGATGGCACTGGCTGTAGAGGAACAGGGAAGGTGGGAAAGGTGAGGAGCACCCAGGGTGTGTGGGAGGGTACAGGGACCCCTGCAAGAGCACCAAAACCAGCCTGGGGAAACAGCACCTCGCACCCAGCAAAGCATGAGGGGCTGGAAGACAGTGACGCGTGGGCTAAGCCACAACAATGGGATCCAGGCAAATTTCCACTGTTTTCTCTCAGTTTAATTGGTCTTCACAGGAAAGCTGCAAAATAAAATACTAGCTTGTCATTCTGAAGTGCAAGAATCAGCATCTCTTTGGAGGAGGGGGGAATTCCTCAAGTTCAGAGYGGTGCTTTATGGACTCTCTTAACACGAGACCTGGCTCTGCTCCTGGTCCAGACCCTCCTGCGGATCTCCCCTTGCCCGGCAGGGCTTGGCTTCATTGTCCACACCCCCTCTCCAGGGAACCCACTGAGGCTGACTTTGCTCCCCAGATACACACAGATGCCCTGAGCCCCTTTGCTCTGCTTCTCTGAGCAGCTGCCCTCCCCACAGCGCAGTGAGGAGATGGTTCCCCTCTACCCCTAACCCTGCAGGGACTTCACCAGCCTCCTGCCCTGCAAGCCATGCTGAGCTCTCTGCAAGTTCRTGGATATTCTACTTTATTATTTTCTTTCCTTTCTCCTCCTGCCTTCACCCAATTATACTTTGAGGCATTTTGGTTTCCCAGCTAAGCCTTGTGTGAAACCCATTGCAATCCTTTGCATCTCTGATCTCAGTATGTGGCCACTCTTCTCTACTCACCTCAAGGGCTGTTACACACACACCATCCCACTTCTTGTTCACTAAAACCAAAACCACAGCCCTTTAACTGAATGTGTTTTTTTAAAAAAAAAACAATCTAAGCTTTTTAGCCTATATATATAGTTTGCCAGGGATCCTGCTGGTTTTCTTTTTCTTTTTTTTTTGGGTCTCATGCTCTGACAGAACACGGCTGTTGCAGGGGTGCAGAGAGGTGTCTCAGTATTACTGGGAGGGTTTTTTTTTGTTTCTCTCTCTCTCTCTTTTTTCCCCCCTCTTTCTGCCTTGTACTCCTCCTTTTACATTCATGCCTTTCCCCTCTCTCCCTCCCTCGGTTTTATGTGTAAGAAGAAAACAAGCTGAAAAAGTGTCAAGCTGTTGCTGGTCAAGGGCTCTTGATCTGCCTTCCTCTCCCCTGCTTTCAGCGCCCGTCTTCCTGCACATCTGCCAGGATGCGGTGGTGAGGGATGCTCTGGCACAGAGAGCAGATACAAACGTGTC